TTCTTTGGTCTCTCTTTATGCTTTGCTCTTTTATTTCAATTACTTAAAAGAAGAAGAATTAATAATACGCGGTAATCATTATACCAAAAATGTTTTGTTGGACAAATTTCGTCGCTTGCCCTTTGAAGAAAAAGCATCTAAAAAAGATGAATTAAGGGTTTTAGTAGAATCCGATTCAACAAACATAGGCTGGTATTGGGAACATATTCCTAACCATGTCTACCATAGTATTCTTTCAATCATTCTCTTCCTTTTATTTAGTTATAAAGGATTTTTCAATATGGGTAGAGCAGCTTTAATTTTTTCGATCGCTTGGTTGATGTTAATTAATTTTCTCAGTTATTACTTTACTAAATTAGTAATCAGAGGTGAAGAAAGACATAAAAAGGTTCTAACCAAGGAATGAAAAATTATTAACAAGGAAATCAACCACGCAAATTTAATCAGCGGAATGGGTCTCGAACACCAATATCAAGTTCAACAACGAAAGATAACTAAGAAAAACGAAAATTTATTAATTGCCTTTGGTCATACTAGAGCTCTGAACAGAACTATCCCAGTTAATTGGTTAGTTAGATTGTTTCCTCCTCTACTACTGCTCCTATCAAGTAAATTTGCAGGCGGCAGTTTATGGATTATTTGAGTCATCTTTCAAGCTTTTTCTGATATTTTCATGTGCATTTGGGATTATGGGGACTATGCTTCTTCTCAAATCCGCATTAATGCCTTTTTATCCTTGCCGGAAAAAGATGATAATTTAACAGGAATAAAACTAAAAAAGAATTTGAAAATAAATTCAGTCATTTTTGACAACGTTTCTTTCTTCTACCGCGGGCAATCAACATGAATTTTGAGGAATTATAAGCGTACTTTCACAGCCGAAAAATTAAACCGTCTAACTGGAAAAAATGGTACCGGGAAAAGCACTATTTTATATCTTTTGCTAGGAATGATAACTCCTCAAGAAGGGAAAATAATCATTGAATGTCAAAATGGAATCAGTTATGAACTTCATAAAGACATTAACTTACAAAATTGAAGAGAAAATAATGTGGCTTATTGTGCTCATGCCACTCTGCTCGAAAAAGGTTCTACTGGTCAAAAACAATTAAATAATGTTAAACAAGTGTTAAAAAGCAGGGAAGATTGCCAAATTTTTCTTTTTGATGAAGCTGACAATGCTTTAGACAAAGATAATCAGAAAAATTTTCAAGAAATTATTACCGAGTTAGCCAAGAAAAAAATAGTCATTTATATTAAGCACTAGTAAAGGGATTTTATTCTTTTTTTATAAGTATTAAAAGGTTTTTCGTTAACAAAAGTAATATAGTTTAGCATAGCACTATTTTTAAATTGTAAGTTATCAGGTAAGAAGATAGTGTAATCATAACCAGTTACATTTCTTACTTTAGTTATTTTGAATGCTCTAGACATATTAATTGATTTTATTCACTAATCTTCCTTTTTTTAGAACTAGTTTCTGTTTCTTCATTTGGTAATGGTCTTTTTTCTACCCTTTTCTGTGGAACTTCATCTTGTGAAGCCTTCGGTATAGTATTCTCTTTATTCGATTTCTTCCTTTCTTTCCTATCTTTCTCATAAAGTTCCAGTGCTTGCTCTAATATTTCTATCATCAAACACTTCTCTTTACTAGCCAAGACTTTCAATCTTTGATGAAATTCAGGAGTAGATTTTAAAGATAATTGCTTAGTCCTACCAGTTACTTTTTTACCTGCCATATATCCTATAACTCCATTTTACTCTAAAAGGAAACTTACTGTTTCCTGATTTGTAAATAACTTACTGCGGTATCCACAGTCCGCAGCAATCACGTGATTTATGTAAATCTCCCTTTGGTCACGTGATTGAGGTCACATGACTTTCACGTGACTTTTGTGTAACCAATCTCATCAGTTACTAACCGCTTCCTCCTTACTGTTTTTAGAATTTACTGCGGATGAGTCACATGATTAAATCTTATCTTTTCGTCATAAAAAGAAAGCGGTTAAATATTACTCCATTTAGTAAATCTATGATAATCATTTTGCCAAGATTACGCCTATCTGCTTATCAATTTAACCGAAAGATAAAAAGATTTGTCAATCATTTCAGCCCATCTAAATCAAGATTGATAATCATTTATCTGAAATGCCAAGACCCCTTATGACATAATTTAACCGATACCGCTTTCTTTTTAAGGATTTATTATTTATCGTATGATTTTTGCCAAGAAAACAATTATTCTTTTTTAGGGAAAGCGGTTCGAGATGGAAGGTTTTAGAAAGATTGTTTAATCTCTTGGCAAAATTCGTAATCTTTGGGAAGATTTTATCAATCTTTCCATCTTTTTCCATGGAACTTTTTAGAGAAAGAAATCTTTCGGTTAGTTTTTTATAAATACAGCCTATTTTTGCTTTTGTTTTCTCTTTGCCGTTAAGGTCTATAAGAATAAGTTTTTAAGTTTTACCCTAAGTTTTTTTTACGAACAATGTAAGTTTATCGCTTTCTTTTTATTAAACTTAAACTTTCTTTATTTTTACTAAGGCTTTCTTTCTCTCTTTAGTTTAAATCTTTTTTTTAACGACATCATGGGAAACGCTTCTTCAACCGAAGACTTAGTCTTAAGCATTGGAAGAAAGGTCGGCTCTGTAGCTTTGGCTGTCAGTTATTTTACTCCAGCAGCAATAGTCACTGTTCCAGCAACAGCAGTCGTAGGAACCATAGGTGTAACCACAGAAATCGTTGGTCATGCCATTGATAATGACACAACCAAGGGAGTAGGAGGCTTTTTTAGAGGTCTAGCATTTGATGCTGCTATTGATGGAGTTTCAGGTGGTGCTTTCGAAGGAGTAAAATTAAGTAAAGCAACAGCCGAAGTAATCAAAGTAGGATGTGAAGCCTATAGCAAAGCCAGTGATGAGGTTGACAAAATAAATGGCGAATATATTCCAACTCCTGACCCTCAGACAACTCTTTTGATTGCTAAAAATATTAAAAACATCTTTTAAGTAAGTATGCCAAAGAATTACTGACCTAAATTTTTTATTCATTATTCACTAATAATATTTGTTCTTTTGGTATTCTCTATTTATTGCTTTTGTCTTTCTCGAAAGAAGAATTACTCGTTTTCTCATCGCCGAATGTTCCTTTTTTTAGGAATTTTATTATTTTTCATTTTCTTTCTTTTTTTTAATAATCACTTCGGTTAATGTTCTTTTGATTGCTTTTCTTAATGATTATTGAAAGTATTTGCTATATTGAAAGTATTCTTGACTCATCTGACTTTTTTATATTTTCTCTTGTATAGTTTGTTCTCTCTTTTGAACGAATAATTGAAGATTCCCTAGGGGTATTTTTCGTTTTCGATAATTTTTCATTTTTCTTTT